TCAAGAACTAACAGACCAATTTTAATGTTTTTATTATTATTAGATGCATTTTGATGAGCTTTACAACTTTTGTTACAAGCCCAAGAGTGATTTACTTAGTAAAAAAAAGTTTTAGATAGAAATACTGCACATTCAGGCTTATAGTAAAATTTATATATAAAAAAAATATTTGTTTAGGTGACTCGTGATTTGCCTATTAAATTATTTATTTATTTTTTTGTTTTAATATATTATACTCATTACTATTAATTTTTTTATAATAGTTTTACTGTTGGTATTATCTGTACTAGATTATTAGATTTTTTATTTAAAGTTGATATCATTGTTAATTGCTGAAGCTGTTGTTTGGAGTTAGTATCATGTATTATTGTTAATTACTAGAGCTATTGTTTAGAATTGATATTTTGTGTTATTATTAATTGCTAAAGCTATCATTTGAAATTGGTATCTCATCTTATTATTAATTATTAAAGTTATTATTTGGAGTTAATATCTTGTTTCATTATAGATTATTAGAGCCATCATTTGAAGTTTGTATTACATGTTAGGGATGATGCTAAAATCAGATGATGCTAAAATTTGGGGCCTTAATTTGAAAATATAAACCTTACTAAAATCTATCTATACTCTTTTATTATAAATACTAACCTTAAATTCTAATTGAACTATGAAAAAAAAGCTAAACAAAATATCTCCAAAAAATTTTATATTTTCATAATAAAATAAGTCAAAATTTTAGCATCATCTGATTTCAATATCATTCTCGACATTATATATTATTATCAATTACTAGAGCTATCTTTTAGAATTTTGGTGTTTTGTTTTGTAAGTTGTGAATTGTGTATTGCTATTGTTGACAGTTGTTAGTAGAACTTTGTATCATTAGTTAATATATTGTATAGTTGTTATTCTTTGTATATTAGTAATGATATTTTTGGTAAGCAAGAGTTTTTAGTTTTGTAGATATGAATATGTTGCTAATACTTAGTTTTTTTTAGAATTGTTAGGCTTCTTGAAAACTGTTAGGTATTTGTTTTAGAAATTTAGAAAGTATAATTTATAAATTTGTTGTTTTTGTTTTATCTTGTTTTTAAATATATTACTAATGCTGTTTTTTGTTTTTAGATTTTTTAAGATATCTCTAAATTTTTTAAAGATTTGTAGATAGGGTTGGAGATACAAGAGCATAAGTATACTATCTAGACATATTCTTAGGGCATGTCTGTAGGCATGCTGAAAAACAAAAAGCATGCCAAATTATATAATATAGATAATTAAAATTATTAGCTAAAATTAAATACTATTCAACAAAATTATACAACTTACTTTTATTAGAGTAAAGTCCTTGGCTAATTTTTACTATAGTTTATATTAAAAAAATATCTATATTTTTATTATAATAAACTCTTATTTTAGTAAAGTCAATATAGTAAAAATTTTTTAAATTAATTCTATAATTATTTAACTTTAACTTGATATAGTAAAATATATATTTGATATAATATTTTTCTTTATAAACTATAGTATAGGTTTATTTTTTAGCTTAGAACTTTACTATAATAATAATAAGTTGTACTTTGCTATATTGAGTTAAATTTAAAATTTCTAAAATTCAAATTTTTAACTATATCAAATTTTTACTATAATGAAAGTTTACTATAACAAAAATAAATTGTATATAATCACTTTATATAAAATAATTTAAATATATATAAAAAAAAAAAAATTATAAATAGCAACCTATCACTATAGTGACTCTTATATGATCAACTAATCATTTTAAGATTAGCGATTATATAAGATGATCTGTTTTTTGTTTTTTTATTTTTTTTTTTTAACTGCAAATATATTTTTTTTTGGAATTTTTATTAAAATCATTGCTGAAGTTGTTGCTAGAGTCATCATTGGAGCAGTCTGGTAGATTTTTAAGTTCTTCGGTAGTTCTTTGTCATTTTTTTTAATCGTGAATATATTTTTTTTAGAATCTTTATTGGAATCGTTGCTGGAGTCATCATTGGAGCAGTCTTTTAGTAGATTCTTTAAGTCTTTCAGTGGTTCTTCATTATTTTTTGGTGATAGGTTCTTTGTCTTTTCGTCATTCTTTAGTGATTCTTTTTTATTATTTTTTGGTGAGTAGGTTCTTTATTTCTTTGTCAGTAGATTCAAGTCTTTCAATAGTTCTTTTTTGTTATTTTTTGGTGTATAATTTTGTCATTTTTCAGTTCATTTTCTCTTCATTGGTAGGTTCTGTAAGTCCTTCGATGGTTCTTTATTGTTTTTTTTAATCGCAAATATTTTTTTTAGAATCTTTTTTGGAGTCATTGCTGGAGTCGTTGCTAAAGTTGTCATTAAAGAAGTCTTTTAATGGGTTCTTTAAGTTTTTTGGTAGTTTTTTATTGTTTTTTTGTGATAGGGTTTTGTCTTTTTGTTATCCTTCAGTAGTTCTTTTTAGTCATTTTTTGGTATATAGGTACTTTGTTTCTTTATTAATAAGTTCAATTTTTTTAATAGTTCTTCTTCGTTATTTTTTGGTAAGTAATTTTGTCATTTTTTCGTTTTTTTTTTCTCTTCATTGGTAGGTTTTGTAAGTCCTTTGGTGGTTCTTTGTTATTTTTTTTAACTGCAAATATTTTTTTTTAGAATCTTTATTGGAGTCATTATTGTTAGGGCAGTTTTTCGATAGGTTCTTTAAGTCCTTTAGTGTTTCTTTGTTATTTTTCGTTGATAAGTTCTTTGTCTTTTTATAGTTCTTTAGTGTTTTTTATTATTTTTTAGTAGATAGATTTTTTGTTTTTTTGTTAGTGAGTTCAAATTCTTTAATAGTTTTTAATTTTATTGTTTTTTAGTAATAGATTCTTTGTCTCTTCATCATTCTTTGGTGGTTCTTCTTCGTCGTTTTTTAGTGAGTAGGTTTTTTTTTTTTGTTAATAGATTTTATAAGTCCTTTGGTAGATAATTTTGTCATTTCTCGATAAGTAAGTTCTTTGTCTCTTTGCGTTCTTTTGATAAGTTTTTTGGTGGATTCTGTAAATCTTTTAGTAGTTTTTTGTCATTTTTTAGTAGACTTTTTTGTTGTTTTAGATTTATTTGTTACTGTTTTTGTTCTGTTTTTTGTCCTGTTTTTTGTTCTGTTTTTGTTCTATTTTTGTTCTTGTTTTTGTTCCATTTATATTTAATTAAAAAAAACAAATTAAATTTAAAAAAAAGATTTTACTAAAACACACCTATGGTGTTTTACATCTATGTATACATTATCTCAAAAACTGGCTAATTAATCAATATGAGGTGTTCTAAATAAAAATGTTCTATGCTCCAAAAAACCTTTCTCAAACCCTCATCTTAACCTTAATATTAACATTAGCATGAAAAAATTGGTGTTAAAAATTTTATATACAAACTTAAAAAACTTAGAAAATTTTAAAAAATATAATAAAAACATATAATAGGTGCAAAACTACCATAGATGCATTTTATAATAATTGTAAAAAAAAAAATTAAATTAAATTATTAATAAATTAATAAAATAAAAAAAATTAAAAAAAATTAAAAAAAATAAGAATATATGTGATTGATTTTGATTAGTTGATCACAGGATTACCATGGTAATGGGTTGCTATAAAATAATACTCTATAAAAAATCTTTCAAAGAATTACTCTTATAGTTAGTGATATGTATTTGGATATCATACAAAATCTTAAATATAATTTAAAAGTTCTAGAATTATATTTATATTGGTTAATTATAGATTTTTAATAATAATTTTAAATAATTTTGATTGGTTAATAGTTTGTTATATAACTATATAAAGCATACTCTAAGATAATATTGTATGTAGATATTGTTTTATTAAAATTGCAGAAATACGGACAGTTCTAAATAATGTTTCATATTTCAAACAATGTTCTATGTCTGTGATAGTATTCTATATTATATAATTTATCGAAAACTTGTTTAGCTAACAAGGCTATTCTTATTATAATTTTAATTCTCTAGAACAAAAAATATTCATAGATATGTCTATGGATATTCTGATTCAGACTATCTGTTGTCTGTATCTGTATCTCATAACAATACTACTCTAAGAGTATGTCTCAAGCTAAGGCATACCCATTAAGGCATGCTGATTTTTTATCTGTACCTAACTTTATTTGTAAAATATATAACTTGTGAATTCAAAATATATAGTTTTTTATTTATTTTGCTTTTATTTGTAAATATATTACTAATGCTTTTTATTTTTCTAGATTAGATTAGTCTTAAGTTATTCTTTAAATATATTAGATTTATATATTTTTTTACTTTTGATTTTGGTTTTCTTTTGTTTTTTTATTAATATTTTTTTTGTTGTTACTTATCACATTTTTGATACTATTTTTTTTTTTTTTTGAACATATTGGCAGCCTTATCAGTATCTTTTATTAGATCAAAGCATATATACAAAATACACCTAAACTATCTAAGTTGCAGATCTGATATTACTTGGCTGCCCCTATGGGTGCCCAAGTGTGGTCTGCCTCACTGTTAAGGCTATTGCCTGTACTGAAGGGCTATACCAAGCTAGCCTAGAAAATCATTACAAGACAGTTTCGAAACGAATGAATTTTTTACTATATTAAGTTGGCAATTTTCTCTTTCTAAACTATCCACCTTTTTTGAACAAAGTTCTAACTCTAATTTTCTAAGAATAAACCAAAAATTTTTCTCTTTCAAAACAGAGTTATTGCCAGAGTTCTTTCGTTTGTATTTATATTTCTTTTTCCTTTTCTTCTTCTTCTAGTTTAACCTGTCCTTTTCAAATTGAGACCCAGGTCTTGAGAGTCTTTTCTTATTCTTTTCTGTAACTTTTCCTTCCTGGTTTATAGCTTCAAACTTTCTTTCTTCTTCTTCTTGAGAGCTTGATCTGTCAGCTTCTTTTAGGAATATTTTTCTGCACCTTTTCTTTTTTTTCCTCTTTTTCTTTAGGTATCATAAATCTTCTTCCGGCTTCTTCATTTCAAGATCTTGGTCAGTCTGTTCGAGTTCTCTTCTTTCCGTATTCTGGGTAAGAGAGTCTTCTTTTTCTCTTTTCTTGGTCCTCTTACTTTTCTTTTCCCTTCTGAAACTTGGTCTTCTTCTCAAGAATTTTTCTTGTATTTTATTAAAGATCTTTCGATTTCTGAAATACCCTACAAAGATCTTTTCTAATATTTCTAATAATATATTCTTCTTTTTCTTTTTTCAATTTTTAATATCTCTCAGTCTAGATGTTGTTGTACTTTGAGACAAATTTGTGTTCAAGTTCTATTGGGATTTTAGTCTATGTATCCATTTTGCCAAAAGGTTCTTTTTCGTCTTTTTCTATATTTTTTATTATACTTTGAATTATCTTTAATACTAATTTGATATATTACCTCTGTTAGCCAATCTTCTGGGTTTGTTAAAATGATTTTGGGTCTTGATT